TTTTATCGACAGATATTAGATACTGATGTTTGCTTGAAAAGCTCGAGAATGTCGGAGTAAAAAATAACTCGTACTTTACAAGATTTATGTAAATTATATGAATGAATTTAAGAATTTATTAATTTAAGCAGATTAATACTTAATGCAAAATGTTACCGGGAGTATTACAAAAATATCCTATTTGCTTTTTATTATTATTAATTTTTTTATATAAAAAATAAATCTATACTCGTATATTATTTGAATGTAAAAAAAGCAATTTTTGTAATTATATAGAATAGGGGATCTCCGTCCAATGTCCTGGATCATAACATACGTTATCATGATCCCGAATGATCTCAGACAGGTCGTCATATTCGTCGCTAGTTAGGCGTTAAAAAGTTGTTAACAAATAAAGTTTAAAAAATAATGTCTTATTTCTATCGTGTACAATACCATTAAATATACAATAATCATTAAAAACTACTCTAACGTGACTTTATACAGTCATCCTAAGTTTAAGAAATAACATCGCATTTCTGCTATATGTACACAATATTAACTAATATCCTACACCTCCCCCTGCTTAGAAACAAACAACTTTCACGCGAAGCGAAATCCACCCCACATCCTCTCCCAGAAGCACATGACTTTTTACGCGAAGCAAGGTTTACCCCAATCTTCCGCCTGCCAAGGGGCGTAACGATTTTCCATGCGAAGCAAGATCCACCCCACCTCCTCTCCAGCCAAGGTACACATAATTTTCCACTCAAAGTGATGTCTACATTACACTCCCCCCTTCCCTGAATAGAAGGTGCACCTCTAAGTAGAGGGGCGGTGAATTGGACCTCATTTCGCGTAGAAAGTCGGACGCCTTTAGGCGGAAGTGCTGTGGAATTCGCTTCGCATGGAAAGTCGTATGCTTCTAGGCAGAGAGTGATGTGGAGTGGAACTCGTTTCGCGTAAAGTCGTTACAAAATAAAAAATTTTCTACTTTAAAAACAAAAATTATGTAAGAAAATATAATAATATTGTTAAAGAATTTTTGTTTTTGAAGCAGAAAATTTTTATTTTATGTAGAAAAGAAACGTTATTTCTTAAACTTATTTTGTTAATAACTTTTTAATGAGTAACGAGCGACGATTAAACCTGTTGAAGATTTGACATATGTTGTCAAGGTCAATCGGGGTTGCAACCTTGACAACATATGTCATTAAAATCTGTGAGGTCACTTCTAATATGTATAATATAATTATCCAATAATGTTTTAATTAGACATCTAAGTTTAATTTTAAGAACTCCACGTTGTTTTTTCTGTAACTACTAGTCTGTGGACTACTATTTCGTAAGTACAGATTATACAGTTTTCATACGAAGCAAATTTCACGATATGATAGCTCTAAAGCACCATATTGGATTCATTGTCAGAAACGGTAAAGAAGGTCTCAATTTCAAAGTTTTTGTCATTCTCAACATAGACACCTCACAGACACGTATCAATGCGTACATTTTAATAATAGATTTAGAAAAGAATTTTCGAATCAGTAAAAGAGAAAAAAGTAATTGTTACAAAAAAATTACATGATTTAGTTAGTAATACAGACGACTTTTAAATTCCCTAAGAAACACGAATATTTTACAAAAAAAGTTTTCAAAGAAAATTTTTATTTTTAAAACAGAACTTTTATTTTAAATAATAGGAAAGATACATAAGTTTTTAAACTTATCTTGTTAATAACTTTTGAAGGAGGTTCTCACGTTTGATGAAGTATAAGACAAGTCTATAATATATAATACATGTTACACAAAAGTTAATAATATCAATAATATCTAGAAAAAAATTCATTGACTTTTACCGTACCATTTTGAAGATACTTAATTCTAAATTTATACAATTTTACATTACAAGTTGAAGGTATAACCATATTCTGTAGTTCTTCTCTTTTAAATTGAGAAATTTGCGTATAAGACAGCAATTTAAAAATCGTTATAATTATAAGGTAAACACTTAAGTTTGTTCTCGTAAAGTTTCATTTAAACTGATCGTAAAGTTTACAAGAAATTTACATTCTTCAATGAAAAAAGTTAGAATATATGTCAAATGGACGATGCCTATACATCAAATGAGCATCTTATAACTTTTATTTCGTCATTTTGAAAATGTTTGGTAACATATAAAATTAACAATAATTATGGCATAAGATATTGTTAGTAATCTTTTTATTCCATTATTTTAATTGTTTTACATATTATTATGAATAAACTGTCTATTGACTAGGAAGTAGCGCGAGAATCTTCTTAATGGATAACAAATGACGGCTAAAATCTGTTGGAATTTAATCTGTCAGAATCATGACCTTGACAACTTGTGAAGACCAAGATAATTGAAGGGGGCTCCCCTATTCTATATAATTACCGCAATTGTATGTGTAGTTGCTATGATGACACTGCTCAACAAAAAAATGATATTTTTTTCAAGCTCAATTGAATGAGGAATGTTTCCCATAGTTTTCATATGAGCGTTAAATATGATTCCGTTTATTAAACTGATCTAGTACATTACAATTTTAAAAAATTACGGTTAAAATTACAATAAAGGATAATTTTAGTATATTAACTTTTACATGAGATTAATGTATAGCGATCTGAAAAATTTTAAATTTTAATAATATAATTAAAAAATATTTTTTAAATCATATAATAGTATATATATATATGTAAAAAAAAGTAAACACAATGGACCATAATTACAAATATTTTTTCAAACATAATTGATATAACAAATTTCATTAATTATGCAGAAATAGACATACATATGCTCAAGATCATCGCCCTGAATGGCCTTTCAGGTTTTAGCCATCGCTCGTTATTCATTAAAAAGTTATTAACAAAAAAAGTTTGAAAAAATAACTTCTTATTTCTGTTATATACAGGATGTCTGAAATTTAAATGTTAAAACTTCTGGAGCGTGTAGGGGATCGATAAATTAAGAAAAATAATCCTGCAGAGATATGCACATTTTTGCTTTATTTTGGAGAAAATGGCAAAAAAGAAAAAACGTATTTTTTATTTTTGTACTTTCTCATTACTCATTCACGTTGTATTTATTCACTTGCTTAATGTAGATATTGTTCCAAATCTTGGCCTCTTGCAGTAATGCAAGCATTGCATCTAGTACGGACAGCTCATATGAAGCTAAACACTGATCTGGCGATATTTGATACACTGCAGCCTCGATTCGATTCTCAACTGTTCTCTTGAGTTGATTGACGACGAATAAATTTCCTGCTTCAAAATCCCCCACATAGAAGTCCAGGGGGGATGACAGATCAGGTGATCGGGATGGCCAAGGTACTACTCCACGTCCAATCCATCGTTATGGAGAATGTCTGTCTAGCCAAGCTCGAGTCTGCCATAATGAGCTAGACACCCATCGAGTTGAAACCACACTTCAATCCGTTGTTGCAGGTGGATGTCTTCTAAATAATCAAAGAAGTCAGTCTCCAAAAAATCTGTATATCTGGCTGCATTTAATCTGTCAGTTTAAAAAAATGTTCCCACAAGACTATACAAGAACAAACAAAAAAGTTTTCACCTGAAAACCGAATTATTATTATTGTTTTCGTGTACGATTTTAGTGACGATAATACTTTAGAGACAGTGCAAAGACGAAGCAATTACGTTTTGTCTTTTTTGTGATTTTCTCCAAAACAAAGCAGAAACGAGCATATCTTTTCAGGACTTTTTTTTATAGCGTTTTCCTTTGGGATGACAGGATGCAGCCTCGCATCGCACCAGTTGCATGTAAGCGCTACATTCAGCTACACTGCATTAGAGTGGTGCACACCATGGTGTACACTACTTCATTATTGCGCTAAAACCATGTTTCCGCTTGACTTGCATTTTCAAATTTTAAATGTCACACTGACTCTACACCGTCCCTTTGAGACTGTATAGCAAAATCCCACTTCGTGCTTAAAATTTGCACTACAAATTTGTAGCTACGGAAATACGGTACATTGAATGAGTTCGCTTACCACCAGCCATGGAAACACGGTACACTGTCTGAGTGTTGCACTGCTCAGTGGGCGATAGTGCAGCCAAGAGAAAACGCTATTAGTTTATCGATCCCCTATACGCTCCCGAAGTTTTGACATTTAAATTCCAGACATTCTGTATATAATATTAAAAACTGTTCTCTACCCTTCCTTGCTTACAATGCTTACGTAATGGCTTTCCGCGAAATGAGTTTCCTCCATTGCCCGTACGAATTTCCACGCGAAGCGACTCTCACCCCATCTCCCCCCTACTTGGGGGCGCATGACTTCCACGCGAAGCGACTCTCTCTCTCTCACCTCACGTTCCCCCCTGTCAAGGGGCATTCAACTTTCCGCCCGAAGCGAATTTCACCTCATCTCCACCCCTATAGCCTATACAGTAGGTACATGGGGGTGTCAGAAAATTATGTAACATTTATAAAATTTTTTTGTTGATAACTTTTTAACGAATAACGAGCGAGAACTAAAATTTGTTTAAAATCACTCAGAGTCATGACCTTGACCACATACGTCGAGGTCAAGGTCATCGTAGGTCCGTATATCTGCATAATTACCCGATTCTATTCATCTCAGTCCTATTGCTCGTGGCCGAACATTAATGCTCATAAGCCCCTTTCTATTATACCAATATAGTTTAATTTTAATCTCGGTTTAACTAACTCTTCATCTTTTTCCAGTTCTGAGAATTAGAAAAAGATAAAGAGTAAGTTGAACTGAGATTAAAATTAATCTACATTGGTAGAAACGGGCCATAGCATGATTAACGACACGATTAAATCTTACGTTTGCTTAAAACTAAATTTGACGTAAAGTCGAAATAACTTGAATTTTAGAAGTTTTAAAAAAGTAACCGAGGGAAAGAATCGAAGTCCTTGGATGTACATACATACACATAAAAATTCGGCACACAATTTTCCTTCGTTTCTGTTATATATTACATATGTATTTTATTTTTTAAGCATCATGCCAAACTGTTATATAAAAAATTGCAAAAATTGTATTCGGACAGAAAATATAAAATTTTTCCAATTCCCGAAAGATCCTGTTATTCGCCAGCAATGGCTAAAAGCTTGCAGAAAAAATAAAAGCGAAATAACTAAATCCGGTAAATGATATTAATGTTTATTATCGTATAACAGTATTTCATATTATTTGACAGACTAATGCTCGTTTCTATACCACTGTAGTTTAATTTTAATTTCGGTTCAACTAACTCTTTTTCTAGTTTTAAGAATTAGATAAAGATGAAGAGTAAGTTAAACCGAGATTAAAGTTATTCTACATTGGTAAAAACTTATTAGGCTCAGTTTCACGATTCACGGTTAACTCTTAACCAAGATTCAACTTATCTCTCTTCTTCCTTATCTCTCTGCAATTCTAGAATTGGAAAGTGATAAGAAATAAGTTGAACCTCTGTTAAGAGTTAATCATGAATTGTGAAACTAATTCTAATAAATATACTACACAATATAATTTTAGCAACAATATGTAATCTTCATTTTGATGAAAACTGCTTTCACATGGTATGGACGAAGTCACGGTATAAGAATATACCTGCTAAGCAGATATGGCAAATAAAGGAAAACTCTATCCCTACAAAATTATTGAATTTGGAAAAGAAACGAACACACAAAAACATGTGAAAATGCTAATAAAAGAATAAAAACGTATTTTTATACCGATAACGGACTCTCGAGATTTAAACAATAATATATATGATTGAAGTTTAGAAAGAAGTATAATATAATTCAATAAATAGAAAAAAAGAAAATGAGTACTTTTATATTTTTCAGAGTACATACAGGTATACCAATTTATGGAGAACTTGTGCAGTATATGCGAGAAAAACAGCATATACATTCAGAGCAAACAAATTCTGCAGTTACAAATATCTGTGAAGATAATTCTGCAGTTATAAAACAAATATCTGTGAAGATAATTCTGCAATTATAAATATCTGTGAACATAATTCTGCAATTACAAATATCTGTGAAGATAATTCTGCAGTTACAAATATCTGTGAAGATGATTCTGCAGTTACAAATATCTGTGAAGATGATTCTGCAGTTACAAATATCTGTGAAGATAATCGTGTTTTGCTTTCGGATGTTGCAGTGAAACAAGCCACGTATGTAGAAATTAATCTATATCTGTCTCTTATCTTTCATTACTATCTATATTGTATTAAAATGTCTTTTCTAATCATTTCTATATTTCCTTATAATATTCAAATCACATAAGTATAATTAGTGTTTCATTAGTATTTAAATGCAAGTGTATATGTTACAGAAATGAAGAAAGTAGTTATAACAAAAATGTTTTAACACATATGCTATTGGAATTGCTAAAAAAATTAGAAAAAGAAAAAGACAAGTTATTAACAGAAAAAACTAAGCTTGTAGAAGAAAATGAGAAATTAAATTTACAGTTAATTTATAATGGAAAAGAAAATGCAGCAAGAATCTAATGCACGAGTGGAAATAAATAAATTGAAACAAACTAAAGAAGCAACTACAAAAGCTTTACAGAAAGTTTTTACTCTGGGAAACAAATAAAAATGTTAATGTCATTGAAGAAAAATATCCCAATAAGATGGTCATTCGAAGATATTGCTTCTGCAATTGCATTGCGATTACTAAGCCCAAAAGCCTATCGATTTTTAAGGAATATCATGAAAATACCATTACCAAGTCTGTCAACTGTGCAAAAATGGTGTGCAAAATTTACTATGCAGCCTAGTATTTTAAAAAATGTTTTCAATATTATGAAAGATAAGAGATATAATCTTCATGGAATGGACAAATTTACCGTCTTGTCATTCGATGAAATATACATTTGTAATCAAATCGATTTGGAAAGAAAGGAATAGAAGATTTATAAACCTCATAAAACGAGTCAATTCGTTTTAGCTCGTGACTTATTTAACAAATGGAAACAATCCATTTATTATGATTTTGACCAGGCAATGTCTAAGAACATTTTATTTACACTGCTGCAGATGTTGTATGATATTGATTATATTGTTATAGCTATTGTTTGTAATATGGGTTCCACAAATCTAAAATTATGGAACGAGTTAAACGTTGGAGTAAACATTCCCAGTACTTCCAAACAAAAAATTGGAGACATCAAGAAGGAATGCTTTATTACTCATCCTACCGACAATACATTGAAAGTATTTTTTTATGCGGATGACCCACATTTATTAAAATTAGCCCAAAATAATTTTTTTGATCATGGATTTCGTGTAGAAAGACTTATTGTCAATAAGGATTGTCTAGAAGAATTATAATACTAATGCTCAACGCAGAAGATTTGAAAATAGCACATAAAATAAGTAGAGCACACCTAGATGTCAGGGGAACGCAACGACAAAATGTCAGAATGGCGGCTCAAGTTTTTTCTAATACGAACGCAATGGCCATACAGTGGTGTGGACAAAATGGATTATTAACATCGAACCAATGGAAAGAAATAGCTGATATAATAAAATTATTTAATGATTGGTTCGACGTTTTTAATAGTCAAAATAAATATGGACAACATAGAGGTGTAAACGCATACGGAATAAATTTAAATGAACAAAATAAAACGATTAACAATATGACACAATTTATTAAAGAAATGCGAGTGGGACAAAAATCTGTATTAATGCAATTCCAAAAAGGCATTTTATTATCCAACAATTCTTTATTAGAGATGTTTTCATATATTCAAAAGTAATATCTGAAATATTTAAAATAGAATATATAATCACACGCAGCTGAATCAGGACGTATTAGAAATTTGTTTGCATATTTAAGAATGATGGGCGGCAGACATGATCATCCAACGTCAGTAGACTTACAAAACCGTCTTAAGTGGTATATATTAGAAAAGTATGCTACAGTCGCATTGTCCCAAAGAAAATACTAAAGGAGGTAGTACTTGTGTAGATTTAATAGATATTGAAGATGTATACTCAGAATGTGTAATAGACGGAAATGAATTAAGTATCGAGAAAGGAAAGGAAAAAGAAATTTTTATGGACATTTCAGAAATAGAAGAGATTATCATGCACATAGAAACAGTTAATAATACAAAAAATATGATTGACAGTGAAGGTATAAACTTAATATGCTTGTATTTGTAATTCTATATTATTTTTCGTTACATTATCACAGCAATAAATCAATGGATGATTACTTGTATAAGAAATATACAAGTTCATCACTTTCAGAATTTTTAGTAGATGGAAATGAAGAAGCAAGTATGGATAAAGAAAAGGAAAAAGAAATGTTTATGCACATTACAGAAATAGATAAGATCATAGACAAACTAGAGAAAATAGTTAATAATAAGGCATTGATAGTGAAGATATGAACTGTATGTTCATGCAGTATTTGTAATTGTATATTATAATTATTATAGTAGAAATAATTAAAAATTTAATATTATCAAAATAGTACATAAATGGATGACCATGTAAGAAATATACAAGTTCATCATATTTCAGAATTATGATACTTGATGAAAATTAATATATTATTTTAATTTTTTTGAATGTTGTTTTCAGCATTAGATCTAATCAATTATAAGCCTAGCATAGAAGAAATAACATTGCTAGAAAATTTTGAAGTTATGGTAGCTCGTGAAATTATTTTAAAAAATGCACTTTTATACTTGGCTGGATATGTTTCGCATAGATATAAACATATTTATCCTGATTTGGGTGTTCCTACAAAAACGCTTCCTGTGCTATCAAATGGTTGGCTTTCCTTCTTATCCAGAGGCAATTTTATTTGCCAAAGTGCAAGCTTTTTAAGAGTTGTTGAAGTAATGGATCATGAATTTGAGAAATTTCACGGAAATTTGTTTAATAAATAGTTTCGCATATTTGATAAATTAACAGCCATTGTTTGCAAAAAAATTGACTATAAGTTTCCGAAAAAAGTTATTGCATGCTTGGTTCGAACTAGAACATACATAAGGTTACGAAAAATAAACAAAGAAATTATAACAAATAATTATAATAAAAAAATTAAGAGAAAAATGTCTAAACTAAGTAATAAGAAGTAATAAGATATTAATGCATACATAATGTATATATGTGTGTACGTGTATATTGTCAAACTATGTAATATATGTATACAATGTACATATACTATAATAAAAACTTCATTATTGTATCATTACTAATAAAATGACAAAACATATGTTGTGTAAGCAATATCATTAACCCTTCCATAGAAATTTTTGATCATAGTTTGCACTTTGGATTGTTAAGGGCTACAGTATATTCTTACATTGTTACAAACAATATAAAAATCTTAGAAAAATTCTTATACATTTGTTAAACCTTTAACAAGTTCTTATTATAATAAATACCTAAATGTATTTTGTTTACTTTTTACATATTGAAATCTGAGTAAGAGTTGAAAAAACGTGATATTGGTAAAAATTCATAACTTTTATATAAGAATATAAATTAAAAGAAATACTATTATAGGCTATAATACTTGAGGATATATGTACATACAAAAAAAAATTATAATATTGCTTTCAAAAAATTGAATTATTTGGCAACCTAAAAATATGGAAATAAAAATTTGAGTACAAAAGTCAAGCTTTTTTCATACAAAAAATTAATAAAATTGGCTCTTCTCTGATGAAAATAAAAATCAGAGCGTAAGTCGAATATAATGGGAGAATAACAGAAGCGTAAATGAAATTTATAGAAGGCGAAAATTGGAACAAAGAAATGTAAAAGAAGTATTTACGCTTCTTTTACATTTTGATGTTTCAATTTTCGTCTCCTAAAAGTTTCGTTTACGCTTCTGTTACTCTTCTATTACATCCGATTTACGCTCTAATTTTCATTTTCATCAGGGTTACTATAATATGTGTATATTACAGTCCATTAATTATGAAAATATACTTATTTATGATATAATAATTAATGTACAAAAACATTTTTGGAATGAATATTAACGCGGATTACATTTAGGATCATTGAGAGCACAGACATAACTTATTTTTAGCAACACAACAATTAACACATTAAGGACCAGCTGTTTTAAATCAAAACTATCCCGTACGGCAATGTTAGGATGAGAGCACGAGTTAAATTCGTGAGCGATCTGTAACGTACGTTCGAACACATAACACGAGTATACTCGTGACAATCGTAACCGTAAAATATTAACAATTGCTTAGTAATGGCCTCTTACATACAATGTTATCAAGTTATCTTAGAACGCGATCTGACCGTATATCCGTTTTTTTTAATTTACAATCGAAATATCAATTACGCCTTAAAAATCCCACAGTACTGATACAGGGTTAATTATACTCATGACATACGATTCAGTTAGCATTTGAACTTCGCTCCACTTCGCTCTGCACTATTGGGCATTTCTTATTGGGTCACTACGATCGTTACGTCATGACACGTGACATCATATGCGCAATACTACACCTGTATATTTACATCATGGCTGGTTGTACACAGTCATATGGGACTTACAGTTTAACGTCGATTCCGAACGACGAAATTTTTATTAGAAAAGTGGGAAAGGAACTCTCGGTGATTTGCCATTGCCTTCCGAGAGAAGATACAAGCGTATGAAAATATTTTTGCTTTAAATTAAGAAGCGCCATAATGGTCAGAACGTTAAGATGTTGCACTATTGTAAATTCATTTAAATGAATTAATTTCAGAAATTATAATTGCGTGCCGATATGGTTGTCGGACTTTCAACGCTGATCAAATCTGAAAATATTAATAATCCCCCCAAATTTTCAAACTTAAAAACTGTAATAAATTTATTGCGAAAAATAATGCCTCATATAAAATATTTTTGGTTCTGCCAAGAATCGAACCCGGGATCTCTAGCATAGCAGACCAGTGCACTGTCACAGTCGCTCTCTGATTCTATTAAATAAGATAAAAACACGAAAGTACAATATTGAAC